ATGAATCCTATCACAACCATATTATGCACTGTAGCTGAATTTACATATACAGATTTGAATAATGACTATTACAAATAATGGCTATTACAAATTAGACAAATATCAGCATGTGTTCTTTACAAATTCCAGTTGCTACTAATCTGGGAAGTTCTGAAATACTCTCTATCCACTTTCTTTGACTAGCAGCTGAAACGGTTGAACCACAATATTCTTGACCAACTTCATACAAATTGGAGACCTTTCAGGTTTGGATTTTAATCTCCAGGAATTTTAGCAACAGGTATGCCAGGGAATTCTGGGACTTGGCCCAGACAACTGGAGGGCACCCAAGTTGGAAGACTGCTCTTAATTGTCAAACTGGGTTGGGTTTTTTAGCTATCTATTTTTTGAATATAGATCAGATTCTTAATGGAAAGTGTGTGTGTGTGTGTGTGTGTGTGTGTACTGTATTGCAGGAGCAGTGTACAACCAGTAGCCACAGAAACATTTCATCTCCACCCAAATACCATCATTGGAGCCTGCAAAACCTCTCCAAATGTTGCTGATGAATTGTAATTTTGAATGAGACAGAATGGGAAGATTATTGAACACACAGAACCATATTCATATTAATTTTATTTAATTGATTAAATTATATCACTTTTAGCTCTTATCAGCATTGTGCCCATTTTCTGGGGTGTGTTATTGACCCACTAAGTACAACCCTTGGACCAAACCAAGGTTTGACATCTCATTCTAGATTCAGAAAATAGTTCAGTGCGCAAATAGTTCAACAATTTGTATGGGGCAGAAAAAAATATTGCAAGTAAAGAAAATTAACCCTGAAGTTAAAGTGAAATAAATTTAAATTAATTCCTATATTAAATCAACTGATATAAAACTTTGGTTTTCTTTTATCATGATAAAAGAAATAGAAGAAAATGTGGAGTAAATAGAGTGATTTTGATTTCAGTTGTCTTAATATACATTATCATAATTATGTATTTCCACAATGTCATTTTAGATTAGATTTAGAAACTAATAGGAAGTGACATTGGAGTTCATTCGTGGAGTTTTTGCAGTTTCAGATATGACTGCTATTGCCATTATTTAACAAGTATCTAATTCCAGCAATTGCAAGATGCAACAAAAATCATCATCATCCTACAGTTGACTTTAATTGCTGTTGCCCTAGTAATTTATGTTCAGTGTGAGTTGGGCAGGTAAATGTGAATTATATGATTTTGTTCATGGGATAAGAATTTAAGAGCGCAGTTCAATCAGATCAAGATCCGTCCAATTTAGAATTCCATTTCTAATACTGAGTTCTAAAACTCTAGAGTTTAGAGCAGTGTTTCTCAACCTTGGCAACTTTAATATGTGTGGACTTCAACTCCCAGAATTCCCTAGCTAGCATGCTGGGAGTTGGAGTCCACACATCTTAAAGTTGTTAAGGTTGAGAAACACTGGTTTAGAGGTATACTACTGCTGAATAAGGAGCATCCTTTCAACAATCATGCCTAGCAATTTTTTTTCTAGTTCTTCTTAAAGCTGTAAATCCACATTTAATGGAGATGTTGTATATCAATACCAGATTAGCAGATGAATCTTATTTCAGTATCATGCCTTGCACCAGAAGGCAACACGGTACCTTAGAGGCACAGAACTTCTTTACAGAGAGAAAGGATGAAGCATGTAATAGTTTGTTCCTTGCTCTTCTTTTTCTTGCTTGCTAGAAAGGTCAGTAGTAACAATGAAGAGAAAGAGAGCCAAAAGACTTTGCAGGGTTAGCAGTGGGCCCTATACCACAAAGCAGCCTTCAGCAATTTTATATAAACTTTTCCCATTTTCTGCCCCTCTTGCTTTTACAGTATACACAACTCTTAATATTGTTCTTTGAGGCAATGTGAAATAATGTCTCAAATACTGAGTTCTCTCCTGAACTTCTAAAGCGTTATATCTATTATTTCTTTTTTTCCCCCTCAACCCTTATAAAATCACATGCTTTCTGATAATATATTTGTAATATTAAGGAATTTTGCCCGTTTGGCTAAAGAAGGAGGAAAGACAGCCAGCTAGCAATCAAGCCAGCTAGGTGGGAAGAGAAAACAAACCACGTCACTTTTGCTGTGAAATTCTACAGCTTGTATAATGTTTATGGCCATCCTGCCAATACAAATGGCCGCCTAAAGCATTAACTTGTTGCTGGGAAACTTTCCAAACAGGTCCACTTAAGCACCATCATTGAGAGGTAGTGCTTGAGCAAGGATTTGCCTTCATTTATGTGTTTGCTTTAAACCACATGTATTGCATTTCTCCCAGAAGTGATTTAAAGTGTGACTCTATAGACCAGGTGCAACATTTTTTATTCTAAGAGCCGCATACCACTGATAGGCAGGCTCTAGGCGAACTGTGTAAACGAATGGACACTGTTTAGCAATAAATATTATGACTCAGTCATATAAATAAGGGAACTATTAATTATACTAACAAACATTAGGTCTTGCTGAAGTTATAGACATGGCAAAGCTTGTCTAAACTATAAATTCAATGGCAGGATTCATGCCCCACGCTAAGCTGTAATGTGGTTTGCGTGCGATATAGCAAAACGTGTGTACCCATCCACCATGGTTTGTCAAACAAGCTTTATGGTACAGGGTACTGGGTGAACCCAGCCAATATATGGCAAAAGCCATTTTCTTTAAATTCCTATATGTCATTGTTGTACAACAGGGGCAGATAATTTTATTCAGTCAATAGCACATTTGGAATTTTGAGCGTATTTAGTAGCCAACCTTACAACAGGCTACCATGGAGGATTTATTTGTTCACAAAATGGCTGCCATATATTAAGCATGGCTAGTCCATTAACCAGGATCCCTCTACCTCCCTAGTGAGAGTTTTGGGAGATCCAAAGACCCTGCTGAAAAATATTTATTTATTTATGCTGCCCGAGC